AACATCGACGCTCCTCCAGCCATATGGCTTGGACAAGTGTACTGGGAGATTTAAATAACCGTTAAGAGGTTGCCGGACAAGGCTAAACCACCCCCTCACATTTTTCAACACATTTTTCACCCATTAAAACTGTTTCTTTTTTCAAGTTTTAAACAACATTTGTCTGGACATTTGTCTGGATATCATTTTCCCACGGAGTAATCCTTATTTATTTATTTTTTATCTTTTAATGAAGTCGTTACTATGCTAATGAAGATTAGCTCTATTGTAAACTCAATATGGCAACCGTGAGAAGAAAATTCATTTTTTAAATTTTTGATTTTTTATTTTGACTGGAATTTTGAAACTATTGGGGCAAAATGGCTCACCGCATTGATTTTTTTCATCTCAAATTTCCCTGGCTGTCAACTGAAATACATATTGTAGTTTGGGGAAGTTATTTGGAAATGAAAGATCTAATACCATTTTTGTCTCCGGCGCTGTGTTAAGGAATTATTCGTCAACAAAGCAAAAATCCACCGCAGATCATCCTCTTTTTGAAAAATAATATCTCTTCTCTCACTCGGGCTGGAGGAATGAAAATGATGGCAATCGATTGGGCATTTGATGCACAATGATCTGAAGAAAAATTGTTCTTCTGTCATCATGCCCGGGTGAGGCAACTCTCAATAAATTTCACCGCGGCGTAAGAGCCATTTGGTTGCTACACGCAATGTGACCCTAAAAATCAGAGTCAACGTAAAAAATTCATATCTCCACTCTCATTCAATATCGAGGGATGAAATTCATTGGAATCAATTAGACATTCAATGCCATCATCCCTCCGCCTTAAACGGGAAAGAGGATATGATTTCTCTATCGGGGAATAGCGTTTGATTGGCTGTCGTTTTTTTCCTTGATAACTCATAAACAAAGCGTCGGAGACAAAAAATTCATTAGTAGCTTGGGGGAGTTATTCGACGATGAAAAGTCTAATACAATTGATCCAAAGCATTTCCAAACTCTCATTGCGGTAACGCTCCAATACAATTAACACCCGAGCCTACATCACCCGCATTCACGGCATTTTATCTGGAACAATAAATAATATCTACCCCGCTACAACCCCCCCCCTCCCCCCTCCCACTTGTACACCCCAACACCTTGTACATCTCTCTCTGATTTTACCTGCTGTCGTGACATATTCGGAGGCGAAAACCGGTCTACATTGCGATTGGCTGGCGCACCCCGTGCTTTTACCAATGGCCACTCTGTTACGGTAAAACATCCCCCCTGCGGAGAGGGGCGCGGGGCCGGGGGTGGAAGGGGGGGCAGGGATAGAGGCTTTTACTGCATTTCATGTCATAGAGGACTGTCTCTGATCCACCGGTTACTGGTGCATCATTTTACCCCACTGTCTCCGATGTTAGTTGTGTGCTGGATTGCGGTCGATGAGCATTCTCCTGGTGTAGTCCTAGTTTCGAAGAATCGAGTGCAAATTAACCCAAATTCAAGGGAATTGAAGAATTGTTAGTATTCAATTAATAGTTTTTCGTTAATAAGGTGATGAATTTTTGTGTGTGACCAACAAAATTTTTATTAGGGGAGGGCAGGGCAAAACGGACCGGGAGGGCAAAACGGACCACTGACAGAAAATTGGTTATTCTTTTTTTTTTTATTATTATAAGACTCGGTGTTATTTCGCAGTCCCAAATTAATTATTATCGTTAATGCCAGATTGTCAATTTTGGAGAAATTCCATCTAAAATTTTGTATTTATAGTAATTTCATCAGAAATGAATTTTCCGTTGTAAAATTCGTAGTAAAAACAAACGTATTCAGACATTGGATAAAAAAATTGGTGATGATGCCAACCATATAAAGGAAATGAATTTTCTTTTGTTCTTTTATTTGATTTTTTATAATTTGTTGAATTTTGACTTTTTTGCTTCCGAATGGAAGCTTCAAATCGTTCGATTTTCGATTGTCTAATTTTGCCGGGAAATTATGTAGAATGGTTTGAAACGTAAAGATACGAAGTTTGAGGACCATGTATGTATGTGCGCGTGGTCGACTTGGTCCACTTCATGGTCAACTTTTAGAAAATTAAACGAATAAAGGGCTAAAATAATTCCAAAAAATTTGAAACTTCGTGAGATTATAGGTATTAATGAGGACTAAGTCTGTAGCTAAAGTTCAGCTGAATCGGTTTAGCCATTTTTGAGAAATTATCATTTGTTTTTAAATCGTTTTTTGCAAATATCCCGACAAATATCTAACCGATTTCAATTTTTTTTTTCAAAATACTCGTCTTGATGTCTTCTATAGCAATCTATCAAAATATGTATACCCGTTCGTACAAAGTTTTCGAGATATTTCTATTTTTCGGTTTTTCGCTGAAAATTTTTGTTAACACTCTAGTTTTCCTAAAAATTGACATATTAACTTGAAATTTGGTACAAAGTTTCCCCTTGGCACTAAAATATTTGGTATTGAATATAGACTAAATCGGATGGATAGTTTAGCAGATATTTGACTTTGTATTCAAATCTATTTTCTTGAATATCTCAAAAGCTACTCAACCGATTTCAATTTTTTTTTTTCAAAATATTTATCTCAATGTCTCCTATTCCAACCAATTGGAATAAGCACAATTCATGCAAGTGATTCATGCAAAGTTCCCGAGAAATTCAAATTTTTTGATTTTTCGCTAAAAATCCGTCTTTGCACTCTAACGTTGGAAAAAATTGACATATTAATCTGAAGTTTAGCACGAAGTTTCCTCTTGTTTTACTTGAAAAATTGAGAAAATCAGAGAATTTGCGTCTTACAGAAACTGAAATTTTTTATTCACCACAAAACTGAATTTTCATCTTCTCATTATTTTTTAAAAATAGAATTGCAACGGGTCCATTCGAAAGCTTACTGAATGAAATTGGTAGAGATGAAAGATAAAAAGACTAACGCATAAAGAAACAATGATATCTCTTCAGTCGAATAGGCTAGGTCCCCCGCTTGTTCGTTCCTTCAAATCAGGAGCACTGAATGTGTTGAATTAAAAGTGAATTTCAGGATCATAACCGTCACAGGAGTTTTATGGACAGCAAGTGTCGCTAAACCGCAATTCGATCAGATTTGCTAATCACCTCAAACCACAGATGATTTTGAATTTTTTTTTTCATTTTTTCTATCAAAACAATTTTTAAAGTATCAATTTTCTGTCAGTAGTCCGTTTTGCCATTTTTGTAAATACATTTATTCTACAGAGAATTATATGAGGCTCCGGTTTTATCAAGTCAATGTTATTGAGTAGTGTATATCTTTGTCCAATGAATACTTATAATTTCCATGGAACAAATGATAATTTCAAGAGGAAACTACAATTTCCCTGCCGATAACTGTATTATTGCGGGGAGAGAAATATTCAATAAAAATTACCAGAAAAAAGACGTAAAAATTACGTTTGGTTCCCGCACTTATTCCCTAAGGAAAAAAATTTCCGGAAAAAAATTCCCGGAATTATTTTTTTCCGGAAAAAATTACTTGGGAAATTTTTTTTCCCGGAAAAAATTACTTGGGAATTTTTTGTTTCGGAAAAAATTACTTGGGAAATTTTTTTTTCCGGAATTTAATTCCTTTTTTTTTACTTCCGTGGAAAAAATGTCAGAACAAAAAATAGCATCCATTTTTTACATAAAAAATGTACAGAAAATAATTTTGACAGAAGTTCAGGGAAATTTTAGACTTAATGGGCATATTTTGGCTTTAGATTCTAGCTGGAAATGTATTGAATGGTGCGATAGTAAAATTGACGTTGGAAGGGATAGCGACAATCGACTGGGGATTAATTTCCCCCACTTATGACACTGTTTCGTGTAGTGTTTATATTGTGCTGTGGCTAATACCCAAATATATACGTATCTTTGGGAATTTCGTGAGCTCAAAATTATTTCCCTTAACACAAGTTATTTTTTCCCAAAAAAATTAATACCGGAAAATTATTTCCAAAAAAAAGATTTTTTCCAAAAGATTTTTTCCAAAGGAAAAAGTGCGGACACCGCTGAGGCATAATAAGTCTTGAAGTTTCTGTTAGATTTTACAACTTCCAAAAAAATTATGACAAAATGACTTTTTCGTATTTTTTCGGTGACAGACCCGAAAATTTACTGAACGTTTCAGATTTATTCTCTTATATTCCTATAGAAATTCACTGAAAACGATTCTCGCTTGCGGATTACGTGAAATGTTCCGTAATTTTTCTTGAATATTTCTCTCCGTGTGGCAAAACTAAATAATTTCGAGGGGACAATTTTTTTTTGGAAAAAAAATATTCTTTCCTCGTCAATGTATTCTTTCTGTGGTATAAACCTGTGGAGTTCTCTCAGATCAAATGATTGTCGTACAATAGATTATATTTTTTCCTGCCAACAGTTGGAATTCTTCTAGGGATATTTCTGATGATCACGACAAAAATTTAATTTTTGGGGAAGATATTAAATCTCTTTCCGTCAAGTTGGTTAATTTCCCTCAAGTAAATCTGTTCCGCTCCATCAAATATTCTCACGTGGAACATATAGTTTTTTTCGGTAGAGCAAATTTTTTCTCTCGCTCCAGTTATTGTTAAAATTTTTCTTTTGTTCCATTTATTTTCAGTCTTTCAATTTTGACGTTTTTGTTTTTTTTTCATTATGACTAAATAATTATTGATGTTGAATTATCATCGAGTCCATCTTCAATAGCATTTTCTCCCATTTTCGCACTCAATTATTTACATTCCGACATGACTTCACGTGTTGGTTTCGTCACGCTATTTTCTCGGTGCATTTTCAATTTATTTATGGAGACTTCAATCCAGGAGAATAGAGTACTACGCTGAATGGGGATTTTCGAGGAAGTAATTTTAAACTTCAATTTTTGCGCGAAGAAATATCAATTAGAACATTAATTTCACTTCAGCTGCTGGAAAAAAAATGATGAAGCACGGTTGATTAATTTTTTTGTTGTTGTTATTATTGTTGCAGAATCACAACACAGTGGTACGGCTGACGAAGAGAGGGAGGAGGACAAGGAGGGGGAAATTCGTTGTCCAGTCTGCGACAAACCCTTTCAAGAGATTGACGTGTAAGTACTTACTATGAAAAATCCCTAATTTTCCTTCTCGAGCGATGGAATTTTTTAGACGAAAAATCCACTTACAAATTTCAATTCACTCACTTTGGGCGAAGAAATTGGTTCTGCGAAATATTTTTCCCGGAAGAGATTTTTTCTCGTGTTGAATCAATTTACTTGTAGACAATAAAGGAAGTTTACACCAAAATATGATAATTTTCGAAGTAGGAATTGATCTTAAAAAACATTTATGCAGGGTGTCATTTGGAGACGAAAACTCCGATGAATTATTTATCTCTGAGGATTTGTTTATGAGTTTTCAAGCAAAAAAACGACAGCCAATCAAACGCTATTCCCCGATAGAGAAATCATATCCTCTTTCCCATTTAAGGCAGAAGGATGATGGCATTGAATGTCTAATTGATTCCAATCAATTTCATCCCTCGATATTGAATGAGAGTGGAGATATGAATTTTTTACGTTGACTCTGATTTTTAGGGTCACATTGCGTGTAGCCACCAAATGGCTCTTACGCCGCGGTGAAATTTATTGCGAGTTGCCTCACCCGGGCATGATGACAGAAGAACAATTTTTTTCAGATCATTGTGCATTAAATGCCCAATCGGTTGCCATCATTTTCATTCCTCCAGCCCAAGTGAGAGAGGAGATATTAATTTTCAAAAAGAGGGTGATTTGCGGTGGATTTTTGCTTTGTTAACGAGTAACTCCTGAACAAAGCGCCGGAGACAAAAATCGTATTAGACTTACCTCCAAATGACTCCACTAAACTACCCTCACGATATGTACGATGAATTTTGGAAGACTCTGCCAATTAACTCTATAGAGGATTAGAAAAGACTGCGGTTTTATCGAGTGAAGATTTCAAGTAGTGAATATCGTTGTCCAGTCAACCCTCTTAATTTCCATGGAACAAATGATAATTTGAAGGGAAAACTTGAAAGTGAGTAATTTCGACGGGTCAATTTTTGTTTTCAAAAATATAAATTGTTTCTTGCTGATTGAAAATCCATCAATAAAAAATGCATTTGGATATTGTTAATTTGAAATTCAAGAATTTATTTGTCTGAATTTTCCTGATTTCTATTAATTTCCATAGAATAATTGAACAAAAATTGACAGTTTGAATCGTTTTTTTCATTGAAAATTGTAGATTTAAAATTCTGAAATTCTTTGAAATTCCAGTACAACTCCCGCTTAGCAAAAATAATTCCCAGAAAATACACCTGAAATTTCCCCATAAATATCTCACAGTTGACAATGAATTCCCGTGACCCCCATAGCAATCTGATTATCGCCGACAAATCCAGTTGCATTATCGAAGTGAAATAATTCAGTGGAGTCAACCCACCATTAACTTATCAGAAATCTGAATGGGTGTCATTCATACGCGATGAAGAAGCGATCACGCGAGCGATTCCATCGTTTTTTTCCATCTATGGAGGCTCCGAGTGGACGCTAATGGAGTCGATTGACTCATCAACAAGTCAGCAGTCGAGTTTGATTGATCACTTTGTTGGTGAATAGAAAAAAAGGGGGGACCGGGAGTTTTTGGGGTTTTTCGTTCGGATACAGTGGAACGAGACAGAAGCGAAAGCTATCCCGTTGTATTGCCAGGGAAAATTCAGCTGAAAAACCCGGTGTGGCGACCATTTCGTCCCATTTCTCGGAGGTTTAGCCAAAATAAATTTTCCAAATTTTAAATATGTTCGATGTGAAAATATCTGATGAATTGAAACCGATTTACTTGCGGGAAATTAATCAACTTGACACAAGGAAATTTAATATCTTTCCCAACAATTAAATTTTTGTCGTGATCATCAGAAATATCCCTAGAAGAATTCCAACTGTTGGCAGGAAAAAATATAATCTATTGTACGACAATCATTTGATCTGAGAGAACTCCACAGGTTTATACCACAGAAAGAATACATTGACGAGGAAAGAATATTTTTTTCCCCAAAAAAAATTGTCCCCTCGAAATTATTTAGTTTTGCCAATAACACAGTTATCGGCAAGAAAATTGTAGTTTCCTGTTGAAATTATCATTTGTTCCATGGAAATTATAAGTGTTTATTGAACAAAGATATACACTACTCAATAACATTGACTTGATTAAACCGGAGCCTCATATAATTCTCTGTAGAACGAACGTATTTACCCGAAAGACATAAATGTCTCACGAGAGCAATTACCACTACAAAAATTACCATGTTTTGGTGGAAACTTTCTTTTTTCACCACAAGTAAATTAATTCAACACGACAAAAGACCTCTTCAGGGGAGCATAATTATCCCGCACAACTAATTTCCCCTCTCACTGCAGTAGCGAAGCGGCAAATACCACCGAATCCAACCAAGATAGCCAAATTTTCATCATAACCTTTTTTGTAGCCCTCAACTCGCCCTCCAAAAAAGTTCCCAACAAGAATTTTTCCATCTCCCTCGGATTTCGAGATATTCATTAAAAACCCGTAATCAAAATCGACTTGCGCCATTTACTGTTCCCCCGGAGTCACCCTCACCCATCCGTCATCAATTTCCACCAAAAAATCCCTGAAAATCACCTGTTGTCGAATCAGAATGCCCCGCGCGTGCGAAATTCCACGCAAACGAGGTCCGCACACCACCTCCGGGGCGCAGGGGCGAGAGGGAGTGCCACCCCCTTGCCATTAACGTCCCTGTATATCATCAAGCGTCGCGTGCTCTCAGCTCATCTGGCGCAAAACAGCGTCACAACAGAGGCACTATCTCACCACACGTGGAATGGCTTTCACACGACACGTTTGGTGCCTCCAAAGAAAGTGTACACCGGGCGGCGGGGGAGCGGGGG